CTGCACAGAGATCTGGCCAGGCAGAAATGAGACCTTCACAGAAATGCCTTTTATCTTCAAAAGGCAGGAATTGAAGGAGAAGAGCATTTGACAGGGGCCCTTTCAGTCCTGGAATTAAAATATAAAGCAGCAGGTTCCAAAAAGCCCTATAAATATATTGGAAGTGAGAAGTAATTGGGTCTTCGGCAAACCAGGAAAGAAGAGGTTTTTTTAAAACCCTGTGCCAAAAATATTTTGCATGACAGGCAGACTCCTGGCTGGGAAGCTCCAGATAAAAACTGTGCATTTTATAGTCAAGAACAAGCAAGATGTAATTCCTAACTAACTCAGAAGAGAAAAGCAGACCCTTTGGGCTAAGGATTACATGGCTCAGATTATAGAGTACTTGCCTTGCCTTGATCTGTTTTTTTGTTTGTTTTTTTTTTTCTGTGTGTGGGTGGGTTTATTTGTTTTTTAGTTTTGTTTTGTTGTTATTGTTATTTTCTTGGGTTTTTTTGCTTTGTTTTGTTGTTGTTGTTTCTGTTCTTTTGTTGCTGTTTTTTTTTTTATTTTGTTTTCCCCCTGGTTTTTTCTTTTGTTTAATGTTACATTTATCTTGTTCTTTGGCAGAAATAAACCGCACAAATACTTGGGCTTACTCCTCACAAAGTGAAGGGAAATACAAAACAAAACCTGCAGTTTTGCAGCTGAATTTTACCAGGTTCTAAAGCAAATCCAAACTCTTACAGTGGCATTAGTTTAATGTGATAATGTAAGAGAGAAATATTCCATCTGCTTGGAAAAGAACAAGGATAATTGTAACAGGTGGGATGATGAATCCCTTATATGGACTTATTTCCCTAACAGGATACTGGAATGAATACAACTGGGTTGATTTGATGTACACTACTTCAATATACACCCAGACCAAGGAATGATTAATACAAGCAAGAAAACGGCATATAAATGAGACAGGTCCTTAATAAAAACAAATGAAAACAACAGAGAACCTCAGAGTCTCCAGATTCAGAAAACAGAACTGCCCGGAAGAACTGAATTAGGAAATGAAGAAGCCACAAACATCTCTTACGAGCAGCAGCAGCAGGTTTACCTATCTGCAGATCAATACACCTGCTAGCCCTGACCACAGGGCTCTGGCCACAACAATCTTGATGGATCTTCATCCAGAAGGAATAACACAGGAGAAAAACACAGTCCTTTTGTACTTTAAAACAAACACATCTTGCATAATAGCTCTGGATATAAACAAATGAGAAAGCTTATAATGTCTGTGTATCTGTAAGTTAATTTACACTGGATAAACAAAGGTAATCTGCAACTATACTGAAATCAGATTTCAGCACCACAGATGCTATCTGCCCACTTTGTGGAATATCCATTTATATATGGATAAACCAACCTAATCAAAATATTGTTGCAGGCATATTGTGTCCTCAGGGCATTACTGTAAACCGTCTTGAGTGCTCCTGAGTCGTGGGAGAATTTTTCTTAAGACAAGACATTAAGTATGTGCACACACATGTGCACTGTGTGTCCAGAGCACATACTGTGAAACTCCAGCACTCTGAAAAGGACATCCAGACAACCAAAATTAATCACAGGAGATTACACAGGCTGATGTTACAGTAGAAATTAATTTATTTTAATTAGCATTACTGTATGTAATTGTCTATTCAGATGCATGTAATTGTATTCTTCTTTTATAAATATTTCGTATGTTTCTGAATCACCAACACCATCAAGCAGCAAAGGGGAAAACCCACCCTGGCTGAGGTAAAATAAATGTTAACCACAGCTCTCAGAGAAGTTGCTTAGCAGTTTCTAAAGGAGGAAAATTAAGAAGGCTGCTGCTATCATTACCAGAGTTCTTTTAATCATGAAGAATTATCAAAACCACATCACATTTAGGAATTGTTAGCTTGACTCCACTGATCCTGTTTGTCAAGTGCTACTGCAAATGAAAGTCATAGCAAAGCACAGAAATTTCAAAGGCCAGTGTGCTCCTTTGGATTCCCCAAGAAAAGAACACAATACCTTTAACCCTGCTTCAAAGGTTTATTCCCACACTGGAATGCAGAATGACTGGAGTGTAGGAAATGAAGACACAGTACAATTTCACAGAGACGTCTGGGTGGGCTGTCACCAACCCACAAGACTCAGACTCGATGCACGGCACACCTGAAATCTCCAACAGATGATTTCCCTAACATGGAGTTTAGGATTTTGTTCACAGTTCTCAGAAATGCGTGTAGCTCTGATGGGGCAAATCAGAGCACCAAAACCATTAGGGAAGCTAAATTTCCAGCTTCTAATTAGCATTCTAAATCATGTTAGCGATAAAGAAAATGTTTAAATTTCAATAAACACATAAACTTTTTAGAACACTTGAATGAGAAAAAAATTCAAAATCTGCAGTGTCCCACCTATGTCCCTATAGAAACTGCCAAGACAAAACCCACCAGTGAAGACAAGAGTGTTGGAGGGACCTGAAGGACAGCACTGACCATGTGGAAACGTGCCAGAGAATGAAACACCTGCACCAAGCTGTTGAAAGATGGTTGCATTTACTGCGAGGGTGGTGAGGCCCTGGCACAGGGTGCCCAGAGCTGTGGCTGCCCCTTCCCTGGAGTGTTCAGAGCCAGGATGGATGGGGCTTGGAGCAACCTGGTGTAGTGAAAGGCATCCCTGCCCACAGCAGGAGGATGGGACTAGACATTTAAGTTCCCTTCCCCCACAAATGATTAATTTAAAGGGCTGGGAGGATGCATCAAGATCTTGTCATTGACAGGGTGACTAAATGCCTTTTGTATATTATTAGGTAAATTCTGTCCTTTTTAATCTGCTTTTAAAGTACCAAATTTGTAGTTTGCCAGAACTGCAAAGCGAAAAAATACAGCAAGTTTCAGGCTTACAGTACTGCATGCAACATGGAAAATGTACACGGAAGATTTACTGATTGTTTTTTTTACTGTGTTGCAAAAAATACAGACTTAAATATATTTATCTTAAAAAAAATCTAGGCAGCAATGAATTCATCTAATGTCATGTAAGAGTTTAGAAGATTAACTATCTGAAAAATTATTATGCAGTGCATGGATGTTTGCCACTTAGTCAAAAACAATATAAACAAACCTCATCATCTCATTTACCCATTCCCTCTCTTGCCCTGAAGAATGCCAAACAGAACTTCTCAATAAAGCAACTTATTTCAAGGGAAAAAGTGCAGTAAATTTAACATACACTCCAGTCACTAGGCATTAGAGAGAACCTCATCAATTCAATTCTGTCATATTATTTTTCAATATATGAATAAGAAAACCCATATCCCCTTCTGCTTTGCCCAAAACCAGACTGTCGAATCTCGGTACTTCAGAACTGACTTTTTTCATTCACAAAACATGAAACAGGTATTTGCAGAGCTTAGCATGTACAAAATCCCTCATATTGCTTCTGGGAGATAAGACAAAAGGAATACCAGGGCCTGTTAGCACATCTGACAAAGAGAAGGCTTTGTACAGAAATCACAAGTTAAGGTGATTTGTCTACATACAGTTTTCTAAAGGTATCATCAAAGGACTTGTACATTCAAACCATAAACGTGACACAAATCACAAGAGGATGGAGCCATCTGCTCACATGTCTTCCACAAAGCTGCCTTTTCATGCAGGTACCTGCCTCACACTAACCACTCATGCTACAAGAGAGTGAGGAGCTCCTACAGGAAGGAAATCTTCCCAATAAAAGCAATGAATGGCCACCACCTTGGGCCTAAATTCTTACGGTGCCTTTGCAAAACAGACTTTAACCTGCCTTGAGATCCACACCAACTACAGCACCATGGTGCATGCTTGAACTACCCAGGACAAGCGCCTTCAGGACCGACCAACATCCCGCAACTGGAATAGACACTGGAATAAGGGACCACTGATGTCTAAGGCATCAGTGCTGCCCCACAGCAAAGCCCCACAGTTCTCCTTCCCCAATACAACACGGTCAGGAAGGTATTAACAATGGCCAAGTTCCGGCAGCGTGAGAAGAAACACACAACAACTTGCTTACACCAAAGGAAAATAGCTTGTTTTCCCACTGCCTTTACCCACACGGTGTCTCCTCATCTCCTCATCCAACCTCCGGTTTCTCAAGGAACATCCATTTGAACATCCGCAACATAAATATCCACGCTAACACAGACGGACGAGCACAAATAAACACTGTAACCCAAAATATTTAAAATGTGCTGCCAGATAGCTTTAAAATTCAAAATGAAAGATCTAATTAAAAGCTCTTCTCCTGCCAACACTCCATTTTTGGAAAAAAACTAAAAAAGTTAAATAAAGATGTTTTTAAAGCCTATCAATATTTTGTAATGTTTTGTTTTATAATTACAAACTCCCCCAGTCTCTGCCATGGATGAAACAGGCCAAGTCACATGAACCAATACTAACTGTAAACTCCTATCCAGAGAAGGTGGAAAAACAAAATTGACATAAATGATGCCTAACTTTGGGCAACTTCCCCTTTAATTTCAACTATTCCCATTCCTCTCTCTCCCTCCTGTTTAAAAATAAAAGCTCAAAAGAAAATGCTGCTGCTTTCACAAGTTTTGGCTGTAATTAAGCAGGTTTCAACTGCCACAAGTTATCAAAGACATTTCAGAAGAAAAAAAAATTCTTACTTTCCATAAATGAAATATGAACTCTGAGGCCTGTTTACTACAAGATTACATAGAACTCTTACTTGGTTTTCCCTGCATCTTATCTCCCCAATAAAACCAGATGATGGTTTACATATGTTTAAAAATAAATATACATATCATTTCAAATTAAAAGTAAGCACGATATTAAAATGAAGTATAAGATGTTTGGAGTCTACAAGACTGTCAACTAAGTACATCTGTTCATTAACAAGAAGAAAGTCCTGCTAAGACCAAAACACACATAAAAGGAATGGTTTCAGATGTGCCAGTATTCCACATGCACGAGGAGGTGACAATTACTTACCACTGGACCTGTTTTTGCGGTTTGACTTCCCTCCTGTAAGAAGCATCTTGAGACTGTTTCGAAACATGGCGATCCTGTTCCACTTGGTTTATTGCAAACACTACGGAAAACAGAACAACAGACACAAAATCAACACTCCCATTTGGACCACTGAAAGCCATTATGGAGAAGAGGTAAAGAAGAGCTAAAACCAAGATAAAATTATGAAAAACTATTTTGCCAGTTAAATTCCTAACAACAACATGCACATATACCCTACCGCTCAGTTTGCTTTCAGTTATCTAGACTTTATTTCCAGGACACACAATCCCAGGGCTGCTGGAAGAGCCAACCTGTTTTGCCAAATAATTTATCATCACACAGAAACGGGGAAGACGTAGCATTTAGCAAATTGTCTCCATTTCCAATCACTATTAAAGCCAAACCCATCAGAAGGAGCTGCTGCCCTTCCCATTGCCCAGAAAATCAATCCTGCTGACACCAACCACAACTCCAGATGCTCTGCAGCTCTTGGGCTGGTTGACTTGTCAAACTCTCCTGTGAGTTGAATAAATTGTCATGAGGAGACAAGTCACTCAAACTCAGAGTAACTGATGCAAAAAATCAAACAGAAACATTATCCCTATATTTTCCTTGCTGTATATGTCTCAAGAGAAAAAAAAAAAAAAAGGTTTTTGAGTATTGTTGAAGATAAAAGAGTGTCTGGGATCACCAGGCACACTGACAGCCTGTGCTGGGGAACAGTCATTTATTAAAGCATGTAAAGCATGAAAACACCTACACCAAAACCAGTTCAAACCAGACAGAAAGAATCGTGAAGAGTCTTTGATCGGTACATACAGTAAACCACAATTTTCTTTCTATTGTACACATGATATTCAATTGTTACAAGATAACACATTCGCCTTGTAAAAATAATGAATTTTTTTCCTGCAACAATATTTGGTTCCTCTTGGAGGATGCTCAGTAAACGCCATCATGCATTTCTCCACACTTCCAAGTCTAATAATACAGTAACGCACAGTTCAAAAGAGCTTTATATGTATATTTAAAGCCACTGAAAGGACTGCTGGACTACAGGAAGATGACTGCACATGCCAGGGGGTTAGAACTAGGTGGTCTTTAAGGTCCCTTCAGCCCGAAGCACTCAGTGATTCTGGGAATCTACTTTAGCTGCAATTCCTGACATGGTTCCTCATTGTAGCTTACATGCAATACTGATGTATTCTAAGTGTAAGCACTCTGATTAGTTAAGGTGTTCACAACACAGAGGAGCAGGTGACCAAAATCAGCTGCTGGTTTTCATTTTCATGCACAACTGCATCCCTTTGCATCTTTGAGCAAACATGGTCACAGCTCTTCCTCTTTTCAGCCAACACCACTAAGCCAGAAGTAATATTTAAGAATAAGCACTCTAAATTAAAAATCCTGTTGGTTGTATTAGTCCATGAAATTAGAAGCATTAAACAGCAAACAAAATTACAGTATTGGGAAGAGCTGGATCAGACAACTTTTCATCCTACCTTGTGAACTCTTTAATGCACCTCACAGCCCAGGTGCCTTTCTCCAGAATCAGCAGCAGCTCTGGCAGCAGAAGCAAAAGCTGCAGGAATGTGTTGGGGATCTTTCACACCCCTACTAACACAGGATGCCTCTGGCAACAATTTGAGCAACCAAGAGCTACTACACTTGATTTGCCCTTTATCTTGTCATTTTTAAGTTTACCAAACAAAATGAACACATTGTATGAGTGCAAGTCTCCAAATGGTATCAGCAGATAAATAAAAATATATATAATTTCTATGCAGCATTCTTAGAAAAAACAACTCAAGAATCTCCTGGTTTATGTCCAGACATTCTGACACGTTGTTTGATCTTCTAACAAATCTAAATTTAAATGAAATACACAAACAACAATAACTTTCGGGAGCATGAGAAGGCAGTAGTACAAATATGATGAGGAATAAAAAACACAAAGTGGAGGGGGTAGAGGCAGACTGAGCTCTGCAAGCTGCAAACTTACACCAAATGCTAAGCTTGAACAAGTCAGTGACATCTCATTAAATCCTTCAGGATGACTAAGGCCTAATTCAGTGTTTTCTTGATCCTAAGACAGAGTTTGTAGACAGGATGCAAAAACCACCTCATGTTTTCAGTGGCTACACATTATTATAGCCCACAGAAGTAACTTTTGCTTCTTTTTATAAAGACATTGTCTGTCAGACACAGAATTACTAAATCAAAGCAAATTTTTTTGCCTATATACCACCAGTAGAACAACCAGATCCCTGTATTCCCCTCCTCTCTGATTGCCCCACTAAAAATAAAATTTTATTTTTTATAAAGCTGATTAGCAAAGCTAAGCTCTTGTTCAAAAGAGTGTTTGATGTCCAATGAGTCATACAAACATTGCAAATTCCGTGCATGTCAGCATGAGAAGCTATTAAATGTATATCTTAAGATTAGAATTCTGTGGTTTTTCCAATAAGACCAATTTCTTGACAAGTGGCAGGAGCTCCATGAACTCCATGACGATCAAATCCATTAAACTCTGCCTCACCACAGGGGTGGGAATAACTGATACAACACTGCAGTCTAAGGAAATATGTATTTATGAGTTTGGTCCATACACATTTAAACACACAGGAGCAGAATTTAGAGATTAAGTTTGGAGATTAAATATTTCCAGGAACTTTAGGAATGAAAACAGCACTGTTGTGACTTAGCAAGCTTGCCAAGAACTTCTATGATTATTTGGAAATACGAAAACAACATAGGTATTAAATGCACTAAACCCTACCAATTAGAGGTCTTTAAGCAATTAAGAGTTTATTAAACAGAGTTCTCTAATAGGCTTTAGAACAACAGAATTAATTGTTTGATGTTATGTTTCCTCACAAAAGCCTGAACACCAATAACTATTTTGGGGGCCTGACATGAAAGCCAATGTGCCCATCCACTCTTAAACAAAATATTTGGAGATGTCTGGACTTTCTGGGATCTTTCCAGATCTGGCAAATGCTGGGATCTTTCCTACAGATCCTGCACAGACTCCCATAATCCTAGAGCCCCTGCACTTGTGCTCTGTCCTGTCCTCCTGATATGACCACACTGTCTTTGCTTCTCCAACTATCTTTGACAGAAATACATAAAAATACACCCATACAACACCTAACAGTATTCCCACTGGAAAAACGTGTGCATCAGGTCAACATAATGTTTCACAAGGAAGCAGGAGGCTGGCCTCAATCCCTGCTTTTATTTTATCAAAATAAGCAGCCATTAATGCTCCAGTTAAAAAGCAATTCTGAGAGCGTAACAAAGAAATATTCCCATGTTTGTGAAGTTCCCAACAACAGCCCTAAGGTGAATGTGGCCATACAAATTTCTTGATGAGTCTGTGGTGATTATGCTCACTCAAAGCCTGTGGCATTTATGTTGAGGTAATTTTTATACAGTTACAGCCTGGGAGGAAGGAGACAAGCACTGTATTATTATGGAAACCCACACAATTTAGCAGAGGAACAGCTTATTTTGGTGCTATGCTTGGAAAACAGCACTTCCAGAGACTGCAGCTGTTTGTACCTCGAGCTGAGGCAGAAGGACACCACCAGGAAGATGCAATGCTCAATCCCTCAACACACACATGCTCTGTGCAGGCTTGAGCTTCCCCTTCTCTGCTAACATGAGATTGTTTTTCTTTCAGCCTGGAACACAGTCATACTTCAAGTAAAGACAAAGGAGAATCTGACAGACAGCTTATGATTCACTCTGAATCCAGAGAAACTAACTACTCTCAAACAACAACAATCCTCATGAGATAACCCTGCCAGCCACAGAATACCAACTAATAGACTTTGTAACCATAACTTTTTGGTCAACATTTGAATTTACTTTTCTGGGTATTTCTCCAGCAATACTTCTTACTTAAGTGTTAACATTTAACACCTATTTAAAATGAAATCAGAAACACTGCAGTAAAGAATGCAATCACTCACTAGGAGAAAGCCAAAAGTCAGTTCTCACCTCAACATGAAAATGGGATGACCTTGAATTTCAGGAAATTTAATTTTGAACCAGGCTTTGTCATTTTGCATAACCTGGTTTCTAATTCTAGATTAATGATACAGACTGAATTCCCGAAGGACACTTCCATTCCCCATATACAACGCCATAATTATCCAGCCTTGGAGAAAAATGACAACCAAATAAAAACTAGAAGTGTCATCATCTCACTTTCATCAATTCACCCATGGTGCTTTTAGTGTCTTCTGTGTTGCTCATAACAGTAAAAATTATTGCTTTGGTTTTAAATATTACTAATAACTGCCTCCATCAACAACCAGGTGAACAGATATCTAAACTTGAAATAAAATGTGGCACAATTCTGCACAAGCTGAGTCATGCTAAATTGTCTTGAAACAAATTTTAGGGCACTTCCTACAAGCTGGAATCATAAAATGGCCAAGACTGGAATGGACCTTAGAGTTCACCCGGTCCCACCCCCTGCCATGGGCAGGGACACCTATTATTCCAGGCTGCCCCAAGCCCCATCCAGCCTGGTCTTAGGCATTTCCAGGGTTCCAGGGACAGCCACAGCTTCTCTGGGCACCTGTGCCAGAGCTTCACCCCCCACACAGGGAACAATTTCTCAATGTAATCAAACCTACTCTCTGTCACTGAAGCAATTCCTCCTTGTCCTGTCACTCCAGGTCCTTGTAAATAGTCTCTCTCCATCTTTCCTGCAGGCTCCTTCCAGGTGTTGGAAGGCTGCTATGAGGTCACCCTGGAGTCCTCTGTTTTCTGAACAATCCAAGCCTTTCCTCCCAGCAGAGGTGCTCCATCCCTATGATCATATTGGTGCCCCCTCTGGACTCACTCCAATAGTTCCACATCCTTCCTACACTGAATCAACAGCACTGTGCCAGTATCCACCATCCTGATTCTACCTCAAATCACCAAAAGACTGAAATGCAGAGAATTTCTTGCATTTCAGGTTTTGGCTGTGACATGGAGCATCCAAAAGCTTGTCACTCAAAATCACACCAGCCCCATACTGGATGTTCTGCTTGAGGTTCCTATCAATCTGAAGTTACTTTTAAAGATTAATTGGTACAACAGAAAAAAAAAAAAAATTACAACAGGGTAATGTATAAAGTCAGAAAATGTTATAGCACTTGTTTATTCCAAGAGATTAAAGGAAACTGCAATTATTTATTAATTTTTAAATAATCAAAAATACATCTTAAAATACAAACCTAATTAAGGAGGCGCTGTAAGCCTGTTCTGTAAACTTGCTCAAGTCCCAGTAATATATTATATGAATCTGGAGTTCAACCCATTGGCAATCACTGGAGATTTTCTCAGAACATGGAATATTTTGGATTTTATATTAAAATAAACCCAAAAAACTAAAAAATTAAAACACCGACCTACATTTTTACAAAATGCAGTGTCACTATTACACATTACAGTTACCAAAAAAAAAAAAAAAAGAATCAACATTTTAGTTAGTTAGAATGAACTCAATAAATAACATGAAAACCCACATATTGTTTTATTACATCCATGCTCTCTCCTTTCCTACCTCCAGTAAGATAGAGGATGACCAAACACTAATATGTGAAAGCTCTTACATCTTTTTCTCTAATAAATCAGGTTAAGAATTGGTAAAACTGTTATAGAAAGACAGTGCCCTTGTTCCACTTGAAAGCGATCACACATTTACAAAGAAACAATAGAAGACAACTGTGACTGTATTTAAACAATTAAATCATGCCTGCAAAGAACACATGGGATTGTAGGAAGAAAAATTTTTCCTACCTTGATATCTTTAGACAAGTTAAATCTTTAGCAAGAAGTGTCCTCCTCCATTCACTGCAAGTCCTGAAAGACAAAGAAAGGCAACAATTTAGAAGCATCTTCTCAGCACCCTCTGTGCCCCACCCTGTCCAGATGCACACACAGAGCTGAAATAATCCCATCCCAGGAATAAACCTACAACTTTTCCAGAGGATTACTGTTTAAGCATCAGGCAGACCCTACTCTTGATCCTTACACTTAAAAAGTGAATGTTCCTGCTTTTAAATCACTGATAACCAATACTGACTTTGGTTACTTGCCTCTTCCTTCTCACCACTTTTCAAATGGGAAGAGAAAAAAAGCAGATATACTGCCCTTTGACACACATCATATAGTACATGATTTAACAAGTGTATTTCCCTTCATCCTATCAAGTTATCCTGCTGAAAGACTACAACCTCCCCACTGTGGTTTTTTTTTTTTAACTCAATCCTTACATAAACATAATTCCCAAGAGGGATCCAGCACTAAATCAAGGGTTCAGTACTTGGCCCTTCGCTCTGTCATCACGTACTTAGAACATGAAGTTCATCAACGAAAAGCCACAAGAAATATATCCTGCCACTTACTGAAAAAGATGACAGCAGCTATTTTATTCCCAGCTTGTGTTTTATTTGTGCTGACGATTTTGTATTACAGCCTTCGCCAATCTATTGTTTTAGAAATCTCATTTGAGAACCAGCAAGTAGAAGGAAATAGAGACACATTTCATTTGTCATCCAACAAACAAACAAAAAGAATCAAAGTAAATTGAGGCCACCTTGTATTTGCAAGTTTAAAGCAGAGCAAGTGTTCAACTGCATCAGTCGGGTTTTTTGTTCTCCTGCAAGAGGATACTGAGAAGTCATTGACAGCTTTACTTAGGATTCATGGTGCTTCCAGAACCGTAACAGCAACTTCTCCTATGGTCTTAGAGTAATAGTTTTGTATGTAAAACTAAGATATTCTATAAATTAAAGATATTCCATAAATTAATCTAAAACCCTATTTTATTTCTCAGGACTGCCAACTGCCTCCCTGCTTTCATTTTTTCATTTCTCTGGGAAAACAAAGAGCTAGCAACAGCAGAGCCTTTCCATGGGAGCAGGGAGGTTTCATTCAGTCAAGCAAAGAAACACTTCCAAAGGCAGCTCATCATGCACCACTAATGGGGATCCTGTGATGGGAGGAACGTCCCACAGCCTCTGCCAGAGACCCCAGCTCCTAGACAGCCCTGCCCTGGACTCTGTCCCACTGGCTGCATTCTGCTGCTCTGCCAGAGGATGCTCCTTCTTCAAATTCCCTTCCTGGCTTGTACAAACTGCCTGTGCCCCAAATCACCTGGATGCCCAAGCATTTAGCCTTTGGCAGAAAATGTCTGATCAGAAAGACTCAGCTACAAATTTTTCATTGTCCAATCACGTAGAGCACAAGACCAGCATGGAACCTAAACCCAAACAGGCTCAGATCAAGCAAGACTTTTATTAGATATTACTTCACAGGATTTAAGTCCCCATAGGGGGAATTTCTGTAAGGGCATGGAGTGACAGGACAAGGGCAGAATGGCCTCAAGCAAAAGGAGGCCAGGGTTAGATCAAATACTGGGCAGAAATTGTTCCCTGTGAGGGTGGTGAGGCCCCAGCACAGGGTGCCCAAAAGAGCTGTGGCTGCCCTGTCCCTGGAAATACCCAAGGCCAGGTTGGACAGGGCTCAGAGCAACTGGGTCTAGTGGAAGGTGTCCCTGCCTCTGATATGCCCCAAACCATTCTGGGATTCTATGATTCTAAATAAATACCTCTATTCCTTAGATCCTAAATAGACAAAAGAAAAAACAGATCTTAAATAAATATTTGGCCTTCTCCACATTCTTTTAAATGGTCCAAATCGGGGTACTTGCAAACACCTCAGGTGAGTGAGTAGTTTTTTTCAAAAGCAGCAACATTACAATTTTTGGAAAACTGAAAACATTCATGGAATAATTAAAAGAACTTATAAATGTTTCTGTGTGCTGCCATCTATCTTCTTAATACAGCTCTTAATGTGATACCCTGTAAAACAAAGAGCAGAAATGGCTTGTGCAGTGTGAGTTGCAGACAAGCACTTACAACCCATCATTTGCTCAGGAACTCCCCATCTGCGTTCCATGAGCAGATCCAATGAATCTGCTTTGCATTGAGCTTTTAAACAGCAGAGCTTTTATCTGCTCACAGGACTACATTAGAAATCTTTATGTGAATGCAGCAGATATTAGTGGGTTGTCAATAAAAACTGAATGTCATTAAAGTGCTTTAATTCTTTAAATGCCTTTAACCCTCTAATTATATTTGTAAATTCCGCTATTGAACTGTAAGCAGATGTTATAAAAAGTGATAAAAGCAGAATGTTATATGCTATAAAAGCAGAAAGTTGTAAATTCTGACACGATGTATCACAACAAATACTCTTAAAAACTAATATACAAACAGCTTTGGTGGCAGAGAATCACTTTTAGAATCATTCCCTCTTGATTAAACACACAAATCACCAACTGGCATGGCATGTTTCAATCAGAAGCAACATTCTGTCACAGTTTCTGAAGATAATGGAAAGTTTGGAGGGTTAAAACCTCTGGCTGGCTGCAAGTCATAGTATTTATTATTATTATTATTATTGTTATTGTTATTATTATTATTATTATCATTATCATTATCATTATTATAAAATTATTCCTTTTCTTTTTATTATATCAGCATTGGTTTTCCAAGTGCTGCTAGACTTGGCAGGGAGATCTTAAGTCTTCCCTCCCAAACCAGTAACTGACCAGTTATCACTTTTATCTGCTGGTTTCCATCCCAGGTACGAGGTAGGTGTTGGGTAACACAGTCCCTGCCAGGCACTGTCCTGCTAACTGCTGAACTACTGCAGTCTTCAGGCTCCTTCTGCCTCTGCCCATGAAGCCAATTGCTGCAAAATGGGATCCTTTGCCCATAAAATCCAGCTAGGAATTGCCAGCTATCAACTCCAAACTGCCATCCAGGTTTGCAAATGTAAAACATGACCATGGATTAGGAATATTCTTGAGTTCCACCATAAAGACAATAATATATGAATGCTTTTTGCTAACAGGGTCAGGTAATTTACGTCAGGAACAACATAAAGAAAACCCACTGAGAGTGTCACAAAGCCCTCCTGTGACACAGAGTAGCAGGAAAATACACTTTGCCCACTGACTTTGCAACCGACTGCTGATTCCTTTTCTTCTGTACAATCTTCAGCCCAGAACAGAATCAGTTCAAATATACATTTCTTATAGCATGTTTACTGTTCTAGTGCACCCATCACTTCATTCACCTCCATCACTATAACAGAAATTGTCCAATTTAAACAGTTTTTGATAATTCTCTGTGTTTGGGACCTTTTCACTGCTTCAGACAATTTCTGACTGAAGCCATCATGGACAGAGGTGCTCAGACAGTTGAATGAAGAGAGTATTATGTGATTTCCAGACTAAGAGAACAAAGAAATGATCTTAAAAAGTACAAGTTGGTAATAATGTCACAAAGCCAAGTAAGTAAACACTTAAAAACTACACACTCAGGAGAGGAGGTAGTTAAGTAACTCAGACACAAACTAGTCATCCCGCAGACCCAAATAATTTCTTGCTTATATACCTCTGTTAGTTAATAACCATTGACTTCTTCTGCAGAAGACAGTGTTAAAAACAACTCAAGTGTAAATTGGCAAAAAGATGCATGCACATTTGCCACCCCTCTAACATCCTTCACATCCACACTGAAATATTTCTTAAAAGGATCTTTTTTTATATTCTGTTAAACCCTTAAGTATATGGCATGCAAATTAACTCAGTTTTTTAATAACCTAGTGAATGAATGCACCCAAAAAAAACCATAAAATCAAAGCCAGCTGAGTGACTGCCCAAGAGAAGGGCTCCTACCTAAGGTAGGAATTAATGAAACAGGCAAAAATGGTTTATGAAAAAGAAATTCCAATATTGTCAACACTTTCAGCTGTCAGAATTAAGCACCTTCTTGTCACTCTTAATAGAGAAAACTGCCGATACAAGAAATGAATACTTTCAGGTACAGTAACACACATTATAGCTGCAATATTTTCCTGTCTGGCTAAAATCCATGAAGAAAAAAAAAATTAAAGCTTTAAGATTCAAAGCAGAAGCCAGAAAAGCTGCCATCCATGGAGACTTAACTACATAGTCTGAAATCACACCAGAATGTTTGATTTCACAGCAACAAGTTTGAGAAATGTCTTGAGATATCTTGAGCTGAATACCACCCATCCTATATTTGAAAATATTGAACATTAGTACTGAGAAACATCCAAATAACAGGCTGAAATAAGACTAAATTTCTATTCATCCCAGAGTAAAAAAAAGAACCTTTTTTCCCCTCAATCCAAGCAAGCAGGTAAAATCCACAGCAATTCTGAAAAGCTAATTGAATCTGAAGTCTCTGCACCAAACATAACACAGGTCACATGTATCCTGATCTCAACAGTATAATTATATTTTCCCAGAGAAATTAGCAACTTATTCATACTTTTATCAACAGAACATTAATACACAGACATTAAACACAATGACCATCTGTCTTTGAAAACCAAAACTACCCCAATGATCAGAACATGCTGCTCAACCAGTCCTGCTGGAAAGTAAAGGCTCTAAAATGGTCTCATGAATAGGGATTTCAATCTTTAAATGCAGTTATTTTTCTAGTTTTGGCTGTCAGATGCACCAGCTGGCATAAATTGAGTAAGCCTGGATGGCATTCTAAAATCACATCAAATCACAGTTTAAATTCTTTGCACATATATACATGTTGGAAATAAAATACATGCTGACTAAAAATAATCTTGATTCCAGTTCTAACTTGAATACATTCATTTTTAAGCAAAACGTGTGTTTTAATGATGTCTGTCATGTAACAAACCAAAAATCAGGAAAATTACAGCATTCTTTAAATTATTGTCATGTTAACTATGACTAACCTGATTTTACTGGGGACTAATCTGGAAAAAAAGCCTTGTGTTTC